GTTTCTTTTGGCCCAATCCTCTAATTTGGGGGTACACAAGACAAATCAGACTCCTGAAAGGGGTATAGTAGTCTGGAAAGGTTGAGAGCCAGTGCTGTATAACACAGGGCAGAGAGTTTGCCTATGATTCCTCCACTAATCTCAATAACTTGTGCTTAAACTAGAGCACGGTTTTTAGAAAGAAAGAAAGAAAGAAAGAAAGAAAGAAAGAAAGAAAGAAAGAAAGAAAGAAATTTCTTGTTTTTGTGGTAGTGCCTAGGAAATCTAGTCATGGACCACTGTACAAACACAGAACAGAAATACAGTCCCTGCGCCAAAGAGCTTACAATTACATGGGACAAAAGTTGGAGACCGATAGATGGGGGAGTACAAGGAAACAAAGAGTCAACAGATGGAGATGGATGGATAGATGGTGGAGTACAAGAAGACGATGAGACAGTCCAGGTCAGAATGACTGGCAGTGATGTCAGGACACCAGCAACCACGCCACTATTAAGTTTTTTTTTGGCATCACAGCAAAGGAGAGTTTCAAGGAGGGATTTGCAGGTGGATAATGAGGTAGCTTTGTGGCTGATTATAAGGATAGACTCCTCTGTGTGAGGGGCAGCTTGGGAAAAAAGCACAAAGGGGATTGTTTGGAAAGGCACAAAGAAAAGAGCAAATACACAGACCACTATTTTACAATGATAGTAAAGGATTCAATATTCACCTTAGCACAGTGTTGAAATCCCAGAAGGTGTAGAAGCAATATCAGCTATTCAGCTGGAACAAAAAATACTACGGAAGGTCTCAGATGAAGTGTTTCTTATTATATATCTGAAAGAGCCATAAAATAGTGTTATGAAGATTATTATTAGAAATAATAGCAAGTGCAATAACAGGTTCTTCACAGGTTCTAGATTCTTCACAGGTTAACTAGCATTTTCTTTAAAGAAAGACTCATTTTTAACTCTCTGTCTGTCTTATGCTATGTTAAGGTATCTAAATTCTCTTGAAACTTGATATCATTTTATCTAGTCTAATTGAGAACTGGAGTATTTCCCTAGCCTTGAGACAGTCACTTCATAGCCTGGTCACCAGACTACCTCAGAGACGGCTTTCTGCAGTAGTGTAATATCTCGTCTGAATTAGGAGTGTACATGTTTGTGGGTGGGGGCATCCACCATGGTCTGAAATAGAGCTTAGTCAATATCAGAATTTCTGTCCTGCCAGGAAAACGTTTGTGGAGGACTCCTGTCTCATACTGAGAAAGCGGAACGATCAGCGAGTTATCTTAAGTGCCTATACACAAATGCAAGAAGCCTGGGAAACAAGCAGGGAGAACTGGAAGTCCTGGTACAGTCAAGGAACTATGATGTAATTGGAATAACAGAGACTTGGTGGGATAACTCATATGACTGGAGTACTATCATGGATGGATATCAACTGTTCAGGAAGGACTGGCAGGGCAGAAAAGCTGGGGGAGTTGCATTGTACGTAAGAGATGAGTATGACTGCTCAGAGCTCTGGTATGAAACAGCATAAAAACCTGAGAGTCTCTGGATTAAGTTTAGAAGTGTGAGCAACAAGGGTGATGTCGTGGTGGGAGTCTGCTATAGACCACCACACCAGGTGGTGAGGTGGACCAGGCTTTCTTCCGACAACTAACAGAAGTTACTAGATTGCAGACCCTGGTTCTCATGGGAGACTTTAATCTCCCTGATATCTGCTGGGAGAGCAATACAGCAGTGCACAGACATCCAGGAAGTTCTTGGAAAGTGTAGGGGACAATTTCCTCGTGCAAGTGCTGGAGGAACCAACTGGGACAGAGCTCTTCTTGACTTGCTGCTCACAAACCGTGAAGAATTAGTAGGGAAGCAAAAGTGGATGGGAATCTGGGAGGCAGTGACCATGAGATGGTCGAGTTCAGGATCCTGACACAAGGAAGAAAGGAGAGCAACAGAATACAGACCCTGGACTTCAGAAAAGCAGACTTTGACTCCCTCAGGGAACTGATGGACAGGATCCCCTGGGAGAATAACATGAGGGGCAAAGGAGTCCAGGAAAGCTGTCTGTATTTTAAAGAATCCTTATTGAGGTTGCAGGAACAAACCATCCTGATGTGTAGAAAGAATAGTAAATATGGCAGGTGACCAGCTTGGCTTAACAGTGAAATCCTTGCTGATCTTAAACAGAAAAAAAGAAGCTTCCAAGAGGTGGAAGATTGGACAAATGACCAGGAAGGAGTATAAAAATATTGCTCAGGCATGCAGGAGTGAAATCAGGAAGGCCAAATCACACTTGGAGTTGCAGCTAGGAAGAGATGTTAGGAGTAACAAGAAGGGTTCCTTCAGGTATGTTAGCAACAAGAAGAAAGTCAAGGAAAGTGTGGCCCCCTTACTGAATGAGGGAGGCAACCTAGTGACAGAGGATGTGGAAAAAGCTAATGTACTCAATGCTTTTTTTGCCTCTGTCTTCACAAACAAGGTCAGCTCCCAGACTACTGCACTGGGCAGCACATCATGGGGAGGAGGTGACCAGCCCTCTGTGGAGAAAGAAGTGGTTCGGGTCTATTTAGAAATGCTAGATGAGCACAAATCCATGGGGCTGGATGCGCTGCATCTGTTGGTGCGAAAGGAGTTGGCGGATGTGATTGCAGAGCCATTGGCCATTATCTTTGAAAACTCGTGGTGATCGGAGGAGGTCCCAGATGACTGGGAAAAGGCTAATGTAGTGCCCTTCTTTAAAAAAGGGAAGAAGGAGGATCTGGGGAACTACAGGCCAGTCAGCCTCACCTCGATCCCTGGAAAAATCATGGAGCAGGTCCTCAAGGAATCAATTTTGAAGCACTTAGAGGAGAGGAAACTGATCAGGAACAGTCAGTATGGATTCACCAGGGGCAAGTCATGCCTGACTAACCTAATTGCCTTCTATGAGGAGCTAACTGGGTCTGTGGATGAGGGGAAAGCAGTGGGTGTGTTATTCCTTGACTTTAGCAAAGCTTTTGATACGGTCTCCCACAATATTCTTGCCATCAAGTTAAAGAAGTATGGGCTGGATGAATGAACTATAAGGTGGATAAAAAGCTGGCTAGATTGTCAGGATCAACAGATAGTGACCAATGGCTCCATGTCTAATTGGCAGCTGGTATCAAGCAGAGTGCCCCAAAGGTTGGTCCTAGAGCCGGTTTTGTTCAATATCTTCATTAATGATTTGGAGGATGGTGTGGACTGCACTCTCAGCAAGTTTGCAGATGACAATAAACTGAGAGGAGTAGTAGATACGCTGGAGGGTAGGGATAGTATAGGTCTGTCGCATCTTACATGCATTTAACATGTGCGATTTCAGATTTACGCGGTCGGCAAAAAAAAAAAAAGAGAAAAATAACAATTTTAATACTGTGCCTGTAGTGCGGGCGATTCCGCACGCCATTACACTCAATGTAATTTTGACTATACGTGATTTTCGCTTTACGCGCTGACTGCGGAACGTAACCCCAGCGTAAGATGCAACAGACCTGCATACAGAGGGGCCTAGACAAATTAGAGGATTGGGCCAAAAGGAACCTGATGAGGTTCAACAAGGACAAGTGCAGAGTCCTGCACTTAGGACGGAAGAATCCCATGCACTGCTACAGACTAGGGACCAAATGGCTAGGCAGCAGTTCTGTAGAAAAGGGCCTAGGGGTTACAGTGGACGAGAAGCTGGATATGAGTCAACAGGTTGCCCTTGTTGCCAAGAAGGCTAACAGCATTTTGGCTTGTATAAGTAGGGGCATTGCCAGCAGATCGAGGGACATGTGTCCAGTTTTGGGCCCCACACTACAAGAAAGATGTGGAAAAATTGGAAAGAGTCCAGCGGAGGTCAACAAAAATGATTAGGGGGCTGGAGCACCTGACTTATGAGGAGATGCTTAGGGAACTGGGATTGTTTAGTCTGCAGAAGAGAAGAATGAGGGGGGATTTGATAGCTGCTTTCAACTACCTGAAAGGGGGTTCCAAAGAGGATGGATCTAGACTGTCCTCAGTGGTACCAGATGACAGAACAAGGAGTAATGGTCTCAAGTTGCAGTGGGGGAGGTTTAGGTTGGATATCAGGAAAAAAAATTCACCAGGAGGGTGGTGAAGCACTGGAATGAGTTATCTAGGGAGATGGTGGAATCTCCTTCCTTAGAGGTTTTTAAGGTCAGGCTTGACAAAGCCCTGGCTGGGATTATTTAGCTGGGGATTGGTCCTGCTTTGAGCAAGGGGTTGGACTAGATGACCTCCTGTGGTCCCTTACAACCTTGATATTCTATGATTCTATGTTTCTATGACCCAAACTGGGTCCAAAAGTTGAATGATTCAATTTTCATACTGAAAAATGCAGGGGAAAAAAAGCAGTTTGGGAAATGGTGACATGTTTTATTTTGGGTCAGTTGGACAATAAACTGCAGCCTCAAGCCGTCACTTCATCCTTCGTGACTGGATTGCATCTCCCATGATGCAACACAGTCATGTGACTGCTATGATGCAACACACTGGTCTGGAGATGTAAATCAGCCAAGAAGCGTGGCCCATAAAGAAGAATTACGACTGAAAGACCTGAACTACAACTACCATGTGGCACTGTTACACCTGAGGCAGATGGTGTCTCATGTCAAAAGGAGAGCATTTTAAAGGTATTAAGGCACTTAATGAAATTTTCAAAAGCATCTATGTGCCCGATTCACACTCATTTCCATGGATTTTTAAAATACCATTAGTCACCTTTAAAAATCTGGCCCACCAGACATGAAACAAATAATTTCAGTTCAGTTCAAGAAACCATAATACTTCAATGCAGGTTAAATTTATCTGAACTGGTATTGAGTTAAAGAATGGGCATTAGGCACCTATTACCTTAGCCCCTCTTTGAAATCCCAGACCACCGTAGCCCTCAAGTATGATATCATGGGTCCATTAAATGGAATTCACTGTGGTCTGATGGAAGTCTAATAGATAAAAATAATTCTGACCTGTGGAACTCATTGCCACAGGATATTAGTGAGTTAAAAAATGGGAATCCCTTAGACCATCTTGGAAAGTCCCAGACAAGGAGAAGACTTTTATGCCATGCACTGTTTTCCTCAGGGTGTCCTTGAACTCCTCATTCCTCAGGCAATAGATGACTGGGTTGAAGAGGGGTGTCAGAACTGTGTAGATGACAGACACCAGCTTGTTGGAGTCAAAGGAACTTATGGCCCGAGGTCTGGCATAGATGAAGAGGGAGGAAGCATAGAAGATGGTTACCACCAGCAAGTGGGAGGCCTAGACAAATTAGAGGATTGGGCCAAAAGAAACCTGATGCGGTTCAACAAGGACAAGT